AGTGGGTGGTGAGTGGGTGGGTGAGTGGGTGAGTGGGTGGTGAGTGAGTGAGTGGGTGAGTGGGTGGGTGAGTGGGTGGGTGAGTGGGTGGGTGAGTGAGGGGTGAGGGGTGAGTGAGTGGGTGAGTGGGTGGGTGAGTGGGTGGGTGAGTGGGTGAGTGGGTGGGTGAGTGGGTGGGTGAGTGGGTGGGTGATGAGTGGGTGGGTGGGTGAGTGGGTGAGTGAGTGGGTGAGTGAGTGGTGAGGGGTGGGTGAGTGGGTGGGTGGGTGAGTGGGTGGGTGAGTGAGTGGGTGAGTGGGTGGGTGAGTGGGTGGGTGAGTGGGTGGTGAGTGAGTGAGTGGGTGAGTGGGTGAGTGGGTGGGTGAGTGGGTGGGTGAGTGGGTGGTGAGTGAGTGAGTGGGTGAGTGGGTGGGTGAGTGGGTGAGTGGGTGGGTGAGTGGGTGGGTGAGTGGGTGGGTGGGTGGGTGAGTGGGTGGGTGAGTGGGTGGGTGAGTGGGTGGTGAGTGGGTGGGTGAGTGGGTGAGTGGGTGGTGAGTGAGTGAGTGGGTGAGTGGGTGGGTGAGTGGGTGGGTGAGTGGGTGGGTGAGTGAGGGGTGAGGGGTGAGTGAGTGGGTGAGTGGGTGGGTGGGTGGGTGAGGGGTGGGTGAGTGGGTGGGTGAGTGAGTGGGTGGGTGAGTGGGTGGGTGAGTGGGTGGGTGATGAGTGGGTGGGTGGGTGAGTGGGTGAGTGGGTGGTGAGTGGGTGGGTGAGTGGGTGAGTGGGTGGTGAGTGGGTGGGTGAGTGGGTGGGTGGGTGGGTGAGTGGGTGGGTGAGTGGGTGGGTGAGTGGGTGGTGAGTGGGTGGGTGAGTGGGTGAGTGGGTGGTGAGTGAGTGAGTGGGTGAGTGGGTGGGTGAGTGGGTGGGTGAGTGGGTGGGTGAGTGAGGGGTGAGGGGTGAGTGAGTGGGTGAGTGGGTGGGTGAGTGGGTGGGTGAGTGGGTGAGTGGGTGGGTGAGTGGGTGGGTGAGTGGGTGGGTGAGTGGGTGGGTGATGAGTGGGTGGGTGGGTGAGTGGGTGAGTGGGTGGTGAGTGGGTGGGTGAGTGGGTGAGTGAGTGGGTGAGTGGGTGGGTGGGTGAGTGGGTGGTGAGTGAGTGGTGAGTGAGTGGGTAGGTGAGTGGGTGAGTGGGTGGGTGAGTGGGTGGGTGAGTGGGTGGGTGGGTGGGTGAGTGGGTGGGTGAGTGGGTGGTGAGTGGGTGGGTGAGTGGGTGAGTGGGTGGTGAGTGAGTGAGTGGGTGAGTGGGTGGGTGAGTGGGTGGGTGGGTGAGTGGGTGGGTGAGTGGGTGGGTGAGTGAGGGGTGAGGGGTGAGTGAGTGGGTGAGTGGGTGGGTGAGTGGGTGGGTGAGTGGGTGAGGGGTGGGTGAGTGGGTGGGTGAGTGGGTGGGTGAGTGGGTGGGTGATGAGTGGGTGGGTGGGTGAGTGGGTGAGTGGGTGGTGAGTGGGTGGGTGAGTGGGTGAGTGGGTGGTGAGTGGGTGGGTGAGTGGGTGGGTGGGTGAGTGGGTGGGTGAGTGGGTGGGTGAGTGGGTGGGTGAGTGGGTGGTGAGTGGGTGGGTGAGTGGGTGAGTGGGTGGTGAGTGAGTGAGTGGGTGAGTGGGTGGGTGAGTGGGTGGGTGAGTGGGTGGGTGAGTGAGGGGTGAGGGGTGAGTGAGTGGGTGAGTGGGTGGGTGAGTGGGTGGGTGAGTGGGTGGGTGAGTGGGTGAGGGGTGGGTGAGTGGGTGGGTGAGTGAGTGGGTGAGTGGGTGGGTGATGAGTGGGTGGGTGGGTGAGTGGGTGAGTGGGTGGTGAGTGGGTGGGTGAGTGGGTGAGTGGGTGGTGAGTGGGTGGGTGAGTGGGTGGGTGAGTGGGTGGGTGAGTGGGTGGGTGAGTGGGTGGGGTGAGTGGGTGGGTGAGTGGGTGGGTGGGTGGGTGAGGGGTGAGTGGGTGGGTGAGTGGGTGAGTGAGTGGGTGGGTGAGTGGGTGAGTGGGGTGGGTGAGTGGGTGGTGAGTGGGTGGGTGAGTGGGTGGGTGAGTGAGGGGTGAGGGGTGAGTGAGTGGGTGAGTGGGTGGGGGAGTGGGTGGGTGAGTGGGTGAGGGGTGGGTGAGTGGGTGGGTGAGTGAGTGGGTGGGTGGGTGGGTGATGAGTGGGTGGGTGGGTGAGTGGGTGAGTGGGTGGTGAGTGGGTGGGTGAGTGGGTGAGTGGGTGGTGAGTGGGTGGGTGAGTGGGTGGGTGAGTGAGTGGGTGGGTGAGCGAGCGAGCAAGCGACTGAGTGACTGAGCGAGCGACTGACTGAGCGATTGAGCGACTGAGTGAGTGACTGAGCAAGCGACCGGGTGACTCACTGACTGAGTGAGCGAGTGACTGAGTGAGCGAGTGACTGAGTGAGCGAGCGACTGAGTGACTGAGCAAGCGACTGAGTGAGTGAGTGACTGAGCGAGCGACTGAGTGACTCACTGACTGAGTGAGCGATCGACTGACTGAGTGACTGAGTGAGCGAGTGACTCACTGAGTGAGCGAGTGACTGAGTGAGCGACTGAGTGACTCACTGACTGAGCAAGCAACTGACTGAATGAGTGACTGAGTGAGTGAGTGACTGAGCGACTGACTGACTGAGCGACTGACTGAGCGAGCGACTGACTGAGCGAGCGACTGACTGAGCGAGCGACTGACTGAGCGACTGAGTGAGTGAGTGACTGAGCGAGCGACTGAGTGGCTCACTGACTGAGCGAGCGAGTGACTCACTGACTGAGCGACTCACTGAGTGAGCGAGCGACTGAGTGACTCACTGACTGAGCGACTGAGTGAGTGACTGAGTGAGTGACTGAGCGAGTGACTGAGTGTCTGAGTGAGTGTCTGAGCGAGTGACTGAGTGTCTGAGTGAGTGTCTGAGTGAGTGACTGAGTGTCTGAGCGAGTGACTGAGTGTCTGAGCGAGTGACTGAGTGAGTGTCTGAGCGAGTGACTGAGTGTCTGAGTGAGTGTCTGAGCGAGTGACTGAGTGTCTGAGTGAGTGTCTGAGTGAGTGACTGAGTGTCTGAGCGAGTGACTGAGTGTCTGAGCGAGTGACTGAGTGAGTGTCTGAGCGAGTGACTGAGTGTCTGAGTGAGTGTCTGAGCGAGTGACTGAGTGTCTGAGTGAGTGTCTGAGTGAGTGACTGAGTGTCTGAGCGAGTGACTGAGTGTCTGAGCGAGTGACTGAGTGAGTGTCTGAGCGAGTGACTGAGTGTCTGAGTGAGTGTCTGAGCGAGTGACTGAGTGGCTGAGTGAGTGTCTAAGTGAGTGACTGAGTGTCTGAGCGAGTGACTGAGTGTCTGAGCGAGTGACTGAGTGAGTGTCTGAGCGAGTGACTGAGTGTCTGAGTGAGTGTCTGAGCGAGTGACTGAGTGTCTGAGTGAGTGTCTGAGTGAGTGACTGAGTGTCTGAGCGAGTGACTGAGTGTCTGAGCGAGTGACTGAGTGAGTGTCTGAGCGAGTGACTGAGTGTCTGAGTGAGTGTCTGAGCGAGTGACTGAGTGTCTGAGTGAGTGTCTGAGTGAGTGTCTGAGTGAGTGACTGAGTGTCTGAGCGAGTGACTGAGTGTCTGAGCGAGTGACTGAGTGAGTGTCTGAGCGAGTGACTGAGTGTCTGAGTGAGTGTCTGAGCGAGTGACTGAGTGTCTGAGTGAGTGTCTGAGCGAGTGACTGAGTGTCTGAGCGAGTGACTGAGTGTCTGAGCGAGTGACTGAGTGAGTGTCTGAGCGAGTGACTGAGTGTCTGAGTGAGTGTCTGAGCGAGTGACTGAGTGTCTGAGTGAGTGTCTGAGTGAGTGACTGAGTGTCTGAGCGAGTGACTGAGTGTCTGAGCGAGTGACTGAGTGAGTGTCTGAGCGAGTGACTGAGTGTCTGAGTGAGTGTCTGAGCGAGTGACTCGAGTGTCTGAGTGAGTGTCTGAGTGAGTGACTGAGTGTCTGAGCGAGTGACTGAGTGTCTGAGCGAGTGACTGAGTGTCTGAGCGAGTGAGTGACTGAGTGAGCGAGCGACTGAGTGAGTGACTGAGCGAGTGACTGAGTGAGCGAGTGACTGAGTGTCTGAGTGAGTGTCTGAGTGAGTGACTGAGTGTCTGAGCGAGTGACTGAGTGTCTGAGCGAGTGACTGAGTGTCTGAGCGAGTGACTGAGTGAGTGTCTGAGCGAGTGACTGAGTGTCTGAGCGAGTGACTGACTGAGTGAGCGAGTGACTGAGTGAGTGAGTGACTGAGCGAGTGACTGAGTGAGCGAGTGACTCACTCACTGACTGAGTGATCGACTGACTGAGTGAGTGAGTGACTGATCGACTGACTGAGTGAGTGAGTGAGCGAGCGACTGACTGACTGAGTGACTCACTGACTGAGTGAGCGAGCGACTGAGTGAGTGAGTGACTGAGCGAGCGAGTGACTGAGTGAGCGAGTGACTCACTCACTGACTGAGTGATCGACTGACTGAGTGAGTGAGTGAGCGAGCGAGCGACTGACTGAGTGATCGACTGACTGAGTGAGTGAGTGAGCGACTGAGTGAGTGACTGAGTGAGGGAGCGACTGACTGACTGAGTGATCGACTGACTGACTGAGTGAGTGACTGAGCGAGCGAGTGACTGAGTGAGTGACTGAGCGAGCGACTCACTGAGTGATCGACTGACTGAGTGAGTGACTGATCGACTGAGTGAGTGACTGAGTGAGGGAGCGACTGACTGAGTGATCGACTGACTGACTGAGTGACTCACTGACTGACTGAGTGAGTGAGTGAGTGAGTGAGCGACTCACTGACTGACTGACTGAGTGAGTGAGTGAGCGAGCGACTGACTGAGTGAGTGACTCACTGAGTGAGTGAGTGAGCGAGCGAGTGACTGAGTGAGCGAGTGACTCACTCACTGACTGACTGAGTGACTCACTGAGTGAGTGAGCGAGCGAGCGAGCGACTGACTGACTGAGTGACTCACTGACTGAGTGAGTGAGTGAGCGAGCGAGCGAGCTAGTCACCTGGTCCAGGTACTTGCTCTGTATGCGGTGTCGCGCCTGGCAGAGCCTGCACGGCTGTGCCAGGCACGGGGTGACCAGCTGGTTGACGACGATGTTGTGAGTGTCTATCTGGCACTTGGACAGCTCCTGAACCAGCCGCTCCGTCTCGTACAGGGACAGGAACTCGGCAATGCAGACGCAGACAAACGTCGTCTGCTCCTGAGCACGCAGAGAGACGCGGAGACACACGGAGAGACACACTCAGAGAGACACACACAGACACACAGAGAGACACTCAGACACTCAGAGAGACACTCAGAGAGACACACAGACACTCAGAGAGACACTCAGAGAGACACACACAGAGAGACACACACAGAGACACACACACAGAGAGACACTCAGAGACAGAGACACAGAGACACACACAGAGAGACACGCAGAGACATACACAGAGAGACAGACGGAGAGACACTCAGAGACACACACACAGAGACACGGAGACACAGACACACGGAGACACAGAGACACTCACAGAGACACACACAGAGACACACACAGAGACACACACACAGAGAGACACTCAGAGACACACACACAGAGAAACGGAGACACAAACACACGGAGACACAGAGACACTCACAGAGACACACACAGAGACACACACAGAGACACACACAGAGACACACACACAGAGAGACACTCAGAGACACACGCACAGAGAGACACGCAGAGACACAGACACACGCACAGAGACACATACACAGAGACACACACACAGAGACACACACACAGAGACACACACACAGACAGAGACACTCAGAGACACACACTCAGAGACACTCAGAGACACACAGAGACACACGCAGAGACACACAGACACACGCAGAGACACACACGGAGAGAGACACACGCAGACAGAGACACACAGAGACACACAGACACACGCAGAGACACACACGGAGAGAGACACACGCAGACAGAGACACAGAGACACACAGAGACACGCAGACAAACGTCGTCTGAGTTGGTGAGCGAGTGAGTGGGAAAGTGAGTGAGTGAGTGGGTAGGTGAGTGAGTGGGTGAGTGAGTGGTGAGTGGGTGAGTGAGTGAGTGGTGAGTGGGTGAGCAAGTGAGTGAGTTGGTGAGTGAGTGGGTGAGTGAGTGGTTGAGTGAGTGAGTGAATGAGTGGGTGAGTGAGTGTGTGTGTGAGTGAGTGGTGAGTGAGTGAGTGGGTGGGTGAGCGAGTGAGTGAGTTGGTGAGTGAGTGGGTGAGTGAGTGGTGAGTGAGTGAGTGGGTGAGTGAGTGAGTGAGTGGTGAGTGAGTTAGTGAGTGGTGAGTGAGTTAGTTAGTGAGTGGTGAGTGAGTTAGTTAGTGAGTGGTGAGTGGGTTAGTTAGTGAGTGGTGAGTGGGTGGGTGAGTGAGGGGTTGAGTGAGTGGGTAAGTGGGTGAGTGAGTTAGTGAGTGAGTGGGTGAGTGGGTGATTGAGTGAGTGAGTGGGTGAGTGAGTGAGTGGGTGAGCGAGTGAGTAGGTGAGCGATTGAGTGGTTGAGTGAGTGAGTGGATGAGTGAGTGAGTGGGTGGATGAGTGGATGAGTGAGTGAGTGGTTGAGTGAGTGGTTGAGTGAGTGAGTGGTTAAGTGAGTGACTTACAGGATCTTTGAACTGCTCGCTCACTGAGCGGATGACCGGTAGCGACTCCTCCAGTTTTGATGCCAGCTGATCAGCGTTCATGTCGCCTAGACCCAGCATGGTGCACATCTAGAACACACACACACAGACACACACACACAGACACACACACAGACACACAGTCACACACACACAGTCACACAGTCACACACAGTCACACAGAGACACACACACACACACGTAGTTACACAGTCACACAGTCACACACACACAGACACAGACACACACACACACAGACACACAGATATACACACACACACACACGCATAGATACACACACACACACACAGACACACACACACAGTTACACACACAGACACACACACACAGACACACACAGACACACACACAGATACACACACACACACAGACAGACACACACACAGACACACAGACAGACACACACAGACACACACACACAGACACACACACACACAAAAAAGAGGCACATACGCACATACACACGCAGGGGTGACTGTGTGTCTGTACCTGTGTGTGTCTGTTTGTGTCTGTGTGTGTCTGTGTGTGTGTACATGTGTGTGTGTGTGTAACTGTGTGTGTGTGTGTAACTGTGTGTGTGTGTGTAACTGTGTGTGTGTGTGTGTATCTGTGTGTGTGTCTGTCTGTGTGTGTGTAACTGTGTGTGTGTGTGTAACTGTGTGTGTGTCTGTCTGTGTGTGTGTGTATAACTGTATGTGTGTAACTGTGTGTGTGTGTAACTGTGTGTGTGTAACTGTGTGTGTGTGTAACTGTGTGTGTGTATGTAACTGTGTGTGTCTGTGTGTGTGTGTGTCTGTGTGTGTGTGTGTCTGTGTGTGTGTCTATGTGTGTGTCTATGTGTGTCTGTCTGTGTGTGTCTATGTGTGTCTGTCTGTGTGTGTGTGTCTATGTGTGTCTGTCTGTGTGTGTGTGTGTGTGTCTATGTGTCTGTGTCTATGTGTGTGTCTACCTGTGATATGAACGGACTGATCTGGCTCTTGATCTTCATGAGCCTGCCCAGGCCACGCTCCACCACCGCTGGGAAGTTGAGCAGGCGGAGGGTGTGGCCTGTGGGTGCGGTGTCAAACACCACCACCGAGAAGTTCATCCCCTTCACTAGCCTGTCACACACACACACAGATATATACACAGTTACACACAGTTACACACACAGTTATATACACAGTTACACACAGATACCCACACACAGATATACACACACACAGACAGTTACACACACACACAGTTACACAGATATACACACACACAGATACACACACACAGTTACACACACACAGTTACACACACACAGTTACACACACACAGTTACACACACACAGTTACACACACACAGTTACACACACACACACACAGATAGATACACACAGTTACACACACACACACAGTTACACACACACACAGATATACACACACACACAGATATACACACACACAGATACACACACACACACACAGATAGATACACACAGTTACACACACACAGATACACACACACACACAGTTACACACACACACACACTGACACATACACACACACAGACACACACACACACAGACACACAGACACACACACACACAGACACACACACACAGTTACACACAGTTACACACAGATACACACAGTTACACACACACACACAGACACACACACACAGACACACACACACACAGACACACACACACACACACAGACACACAACAACAACAACAACAACCGCCATTCGCCACTAAGTGGCGGTGACGTCACCACGACGCTTGTGCCAGGCTATGTGCACCCTGAGGCCACGTGAAGTGTCGAACGCCCGCTGGCAGGAGGTCACGGGGCAGACCCAGGTGCCACGGGTCGACTGACTGAGATGACTGGCTGATGCACCACCTGTGCCCCCTACTGTGCCAACCTGCTGTGCTTTAGCCACCCGGCGCTCCGCTCGCTGTTGTGAGCGTCGCTCCTCCGCCCTCCATTGTTGTTGGAGGGCGACTGCCTCCAACTGCCCAGTAGCATCCTTCACGAGCCTCCTCCACAGAGGCCGATCTTGACACCGCTGGTACCAGTCATCGGCAAGTCCACTCAGCTCCACGTCCTCCTGTACCACATCACTCCATCTCTTCTCTAGCCCGTGCCGCGCCCGCTTAGCCCCCTCAATCCGGCCAAACAAAAGCTGTTTCGGCATGCGGTGGCTGGGCATGCGGGCTACATGACCCAGCCATCGCAGCCTTGCCTGCCGGAGGAGCTCACCGATGGGACCCTGCCCAGATCTTTCAAGGATTTGTGAGCTCCTCACACAATCCAGTCTGGTTAAACCCAGGATGGATCGTAGGCAGGTCAGCCTAAATGTTTCTAACCGGCGAAGATGTTCCATTAGGGGGGTCCACGTTTCGCAAGCGTAGAGAAGGGAGGGAATGACCGTGGCCGAGAAGACCTGAAGCTTAGTGCGGAGCGACAGACCAGGTAGCTTCCACACAGCGTTACGCAACCGATGAAAAGATATTGCCGCTCGACTGATTCGGAGTGAGACCTCTGCTGTTAAACTGGAGCCAGTCATAAGCACACTGCCCAGGTATGGGAAACTCTCCACTCTCTCCACAACTGCCCCATCACCGATTGGGAGTTGTGGGGGTGGAGTGTCCGATGGTACAAAATACCCAGGCAGGTGCTTAGTTTTGGTGGGGCTGATGGTAAGGCCCCACCTCTTAGTGGCACGCTCCAGTCTCAGCAGCAGCGTCTCCAACTCCTCCTCTGACTGAGCAGCTATTACCAAGTCATCAGCATACATAACGTGGTTGAGCAATAGGGAGCCATCCCTTGACCGCACCCGGGCATCGATTAGCCTCCCATTATATCTGTACCATATGGAGATTCCCCCGGTACAGCTATTGAAGGCTTCACGAACTACGTGGTCAAAATAGATGTTAAATAATGTGGGAGCCAGAGGACATCCCTGTCGCACCCCAAGGTGTACAGGGAATGGCTCTGACTCCCGGCCACGTAGTTTTACCCGGGCCCGCTCACCATCATGAAGGTCCTTAATGATCGTGAGCAGAGGGTCAGGTACTCCAAAAGCACGAAGAACGACCCAGAGCCCAGGCCTACTGATGGTATCATAGGCCTTGACCAGGTCAATAAAGCAGAGATGTAGGTCTTGTTGGAATTCCCTACACCTCTGCTGTAGCAGACGGACAGAAAATATGGCATCTGTGCAGGACCGCCCTTTCCTGAAACCGCATTGGGGCTCCGCAAGCCTCTCCTCAGCGTGCCTGGCAAGGCGATGCTGAATAATCCTTGCCAGGACCTTTCCCGGCACACTGAGGAGTGAGATGCCCCTGTAGTTGTTACAGTCTGTGCGGTCCCCCTTCTTAAAAAGGGGGACCACCAGGGCATCCTTCCAATCCTGCGGAACCCGTCCAGTGGTCCAGACTGTTGTTATGATGTCATATAGGGCAGTCTGTGCACAAACGCCACCCTCCCTCAGCATTTCGCTTGGGAGATCATCTCTGCCCGCTGCCTTTCCTGGTCTCAGACTCCGGATCGCCTTCAATACTTCCTCAGCAGATGGCACCTCAGCCAGCCACTCACAGGGGGTGACTTCACCCAATATTTGAGGCACCGCAGCCTCAGCAGGGTCATCCTCACCCTGTGCCACGATGTTTTCCTGGCTGTGGGATTTTCCCTCCCCCAGGACCTCACAGAAATGCTCAGCAAATCTGCGAACCTGTTCCTGGGGGTCGGAAATTGGATCACCGTTTTTTCCCCTAATGATGGTAATAGGTGTGGCGCTGCAGGTTACTCTTTTGATGGAGTTAAATAGCGATTTGTGATCACGGGCCACTGAGGCAGACTCCATCTCCTCAGCAACCCGCGACCACCACCCATCCTTGCAGCGCCTCACGGCTCTCCGAACCTCCGAGCGAAGGCTGCGGTAAGCCTCCTCATTCTCTGACGTGGGATTCTGTAGCCGATGACAGTGGGCCTGTCGCTTTTTCTCAACCATCCTGAACAACTCCTCTGTCATCCAGGGTGTCTGGGGAGGTCTGGACCGCGTACCCAAAGCAGCCATTGCAGCTGCATGAGTCACAGTCCTAAACCTCGCCCATTTACCCTCGACATCAGGAGGAGTCGGGGACGATGCCAATCCCAGCCGCAAGCGATGATGAAATTCTCGCTTGCAACTTTGATCAGATAATTGAGACCAGGCCACTTTAGGTTGGAATGGGGTCCTGGGTGTACACCCACCACCGGAGTGGAAGAATGGCAGGCGCATCTTACAGATGACTAGTCGATGGTCAGAGGGCAGATCAGCTCCACGGTAGGTCCTGGTGTCAAGGACATGGGCTCGCATTCGCTGGTCCGTCACTATGTAGTCCAGCAGATGTTCTTGCTTGGACCCGGCATGCATCCATGATGTTGTGTGGATGCGCCGATGCCGGAACAGCGTGTTGGTAATTACAAGCCCATGGGCTGCACAAAAATCTAGCAGCCTCCTACCGTTGTTATTGAGCTGATCTGGCCCATGCCCTCCAATCACTCCAGACCAGGTGCCAGTATCATGACCAACTCGGGCATTGAAGTCACCCAACATGATGACTCTATCCCGAGGGGCCACTTTAGCCAGCACCTGTGACAGGAGGTCATAGAAGGCCTCTGACTCATCGGCTTTGCCTGCATCCCTCCACGGATGTTCATCTTCGGTGGGGGCATAAGTAACCACGACCACCATTCCTCGCCTCCGGTTGATGGGAAGGCGAGCCCAAAGTAGCCTGGGGCTTACAGCTTCCCACACCTCACCGCCACGCTCCCACGCCCCCTTCATTCTTTTATTCAAAAGAAGACCCACACCCTGTTGTTTGGCAGTCTGCTGCCCCGAGTAGAGGACTGTCCACCCCTCATGGTGGCAGGAGCCAGAGCCGGTCCACCGGACCTCCTGAATGCCGCATAGATCCAGGCGGTACCGGTCCAGCTCCCGACAGAGGAGTGGCAGCCTCTCCTCTGCAGTGAGCGTTCGAACATTCCACGTGGCCACCCGTAGTGGCTTTTCGTTGTTTCTGGAGTAGCCCCGAGGGTAGGTATTCAATCTCCTGGCTCCGCCAATTGGGGTTTGGCCAGGAGACGTCATAGACGCCTGGCCCCCCGGGGCCTCCGGCACAAGCTTAGTTGTTACATATTTCACTTTAATTCGTGGTTTTGTGGTAATTAATTGAAGGTGGAGGGGTTACCAGCCCCTCGCACCCGTCCAGAGCCCCCGTTTAGCCCCTGTGGTGGACACATATGCCATGAGGGGAGGAGCCAATCAAAATTGGAACTCCCCCCACAGCACTGTCCACGACAGAGTTGCCCGTCCGGCACCGCGAGGAGGTAGGGGGTTGTTTTGCCGGACCACAGACACACACACACACAGACACACACACACAGACACACACACACAGTTACACACACACACACAGATACACACACACACAGACACACACACAGACACAGGCCACGCTCCACCACCGCTGGGAAGTTGAGCAGGCGGAGGGTGTGGCCTGTGGGTGCGGTGTCAAACACCACCACCGAGAAGTTCATCCCCTTCACTAGCCTGTCACACACACACACAGTTACACACACAGTTACACACACACAGTTACACACACACAGTTACACACACACAGTTACACACACAGACACACAGGCAGATATATACACAGTTACACACACACACACAGTTACACACACACATACAGACACACAGATACACACACACACACAGATATACACACACACAGACAGAGACACACACACACAGATATACACACACACAGATATACACACACACACACAGACACACACACAGATATACACACACACAGTTACAGATACACACACAGTTACACACAGATACACACACACACACAGTTACACACACAGATACACACACACAGATATACACACACAGACACACACAGATATACACACACAGATACACACACACACAGTTACACACACACACACACAGATATATACACACACACACACAGATATTAACACACAGACACACACAGATATACACACACAGACACACACAGATATACACACACAGACACACACAGATATACACACACAGATATACACACACACACAGATACACACAGTTACACACACACAGATATACACACACACACAGACACACACACAGATATACACACACACACAGACACACACAGACAGATATACACACACACATACAGACACACAGATACACACACACACAGATATACAGATACACACACACACAGACACACACACAGATATACACAGATACACACACACAGCTATACACAGATACACACACACAGACACCGACACACACACAGATACACACACACACATACACAAATACACAGATACAGATACACACACACAGTCACACACACAGATAGACACACACAGATACACACAGTGATAGTAGTGATAGTGGTAGTAGTAGTAGTGATGATAGTAGCGGTAGTGATGATAGTGGTAGTGATGATAATGGGAGTAGTGATGGTAGTGGTAGTGATGATAGTAGTGATAGTGGTGGTGATAGTGATTGTGATAGTGATGATGATAGTGGTAGTGATGATAGTGATGGTAGTGATAGTGATGATGGTGGTGATGGTAGTGATGATGGCGGTGATGGTAGTGATGGTGGTAGTGATGATGGTGGTGATGGTGGTAGTGATGGTGATGATAGTGATGATAGTAGTGATGGTGATGATGACGGTGATGGTGATGGTAGTGGTAGTAGTGATGATAGTGATGGTGGTGATGATAGTGATGGTGATAGTGATGGTGGCGGTGATGGTGGTTATGGTAGTGGTGATGGTGATGATGGTGGTGATGGTGGTGATAGTGATGGTGATGGTGGTGGTGGTGATGGTGGTGATGGTGGTAATAGTGGTGATGGTGGTGATAGTGGTGATGGTGGTGATGGTGGTAGTAGTGATGGTGGTGATGGTGGTGATGGTGGTAGTAGTGATGGTGGTGATGGTGGTGGTGATGTTGGTAATGGTGATGGAAGTGATAGTGATGATAGTGATGGTGATGATAGTGATGATGGTGGTAGTGATGGTGGTGATGGTGGTAGTGATAGTGACGGTGGTGATGGTGATAGTGGTGATGATGATGGTGATGGTGGTGGTAGTGGTGATGGTGGTAGTGGTAGTGATGACGGTGATGGTGGTAGTGATGTCACTGATCTGACCTCATGACCTCAGCGTAGCTCATAGCCTCGTCGATGCCAGGGAAAGCGCTCAGCGCTTCCTGAACCATCCTCTTGCCCAGGCACAGGACGGTGGTGATGGTGATGATGGTGGTGATGGTGGTAGTGATGGTGGTGGTGGTGGTGATGGTGGTGGTGGTGGTAGTGGTGATGGTGGTAGTGGTGGTAGTGGTGGTAGTGATGGTGGTGGTAGTGATGGTGGTGGTGATGGTGGTGGTGATGGTGGTGGTGATGGTGGTAGTGGTGATGATGGTGATGGTGGTGGTGGTGATGGTGGTGGTGATGGTGGTGGTGATGGTAGTGATGGTGATGACGGTGATGATAGAGGTGATGGTGTCTCTGACCTCATGACCTCAGCGTAGCTCATAGCCTCGTCGATGCCAGGGAAAGCGCTCAGCGCTTCCTGAACCATCCTCTTGCCCAGGCACAGGACGGAGTCATCTTCCAGGAGCTCCTCGGGGAGGTCGGCGACACCCAGGTTCGGGTCGATCTCCTGCGGAGACACGGAGTGAGACAGAGACACAGTGAGACACAGTGAGACAGTGAGACACAGTGAGACACAGAGAGAGACACCCAGGTTCGGGTCGATCTCCTGCGGAGACAGAGACACAGTGAGACAGAGACACAGTGAGACACAGTGAGACACAGAGACACAGAGAGACACAGTGAGACACAGTGAGACACAGAGAGAGACACCCAGGTTCGGGTCGATCTCCTGCAGAGACACGGAGACAGAGACACAGAGAGACACAGAGAGAGACACCCAGGTTCGGGTCAATCTCCTGCGGAGACACGGAGACAGAGAGACACGGAGTGAGACAGTGAGACAGTGAGACACAGAGAGAGACACCCAGGTTCGGGTCAATCTCCTGCGGAGACAGAGACACGGTGAGACACAGAGAGAGAGACACAGAGAGAGAGACACAGAGACACAGTGAGACACCCAGGTTCGGGTCAATCTCCTGCGGAGACAGAGACACAGAGACACAGTGAGACACAGAGACACAGTGAGACACAGAGAGAGAGACACAGAGAGAGAGACACAGAGACACAGTGAGACACAGAGAGAGACACCCAGGTTCGGGTCGATCTCCTGCGGAGACACAGTGACACAGTGAGACAGTGAGACACACAGACAGAGTGAGACACAGAGACACAGAGAGAGACACCCAGGTTCGGGTCGATCTCCTGCGGAGACAGAGACACGGAGTGAGACAGAGACACAGTGAGACACAGAGAGACACAGAGAGACACAGAGAGAGACACCCAGGTTCGGGTCGATCTCCTGCGGAGACAGAGACACAGAGAGACAGTGAGACAGTGAGACAGAGACACAGAGAGAGACACAGAGACACAGAGAGAGACACCCAGGTTCGGGTCAATCTCCTGCGGAGACAGAGACACAGTGAGACAGTGAGACACAGTGAGACACAGAGACACAGAGACACAGAGACACAGAGACACAGTGAGACACAGAGACACAGTGAGACACAGAGACACAGTGAGACACAGAGAGAGAGACACAGAGAGAGAGACACAGAGAGAGAGACACAGAGACACAGTGAGACACCCAGGTTCGGGTCAATCTCCTGCGGAGACAGAGACACGGAGTGAGACAGAGACAGTGAGACAGAGAGTGAGACACGGTGAGACACAGTGAGACAGAGACACGGAGTGAGACAGAGACAGTGAGACAGTGAGACACAGTGAGACACAGAGACACTCAGAGAGACACAGAGAGAGAGACACCCAGGTTCGGGTCGATCTCCTGCAGAGACACGGAGTGAGACAGTGAGACACAGTGAGACACAGAGACACAGTGAGACACAGAGAGAGACACCCAGGTTCGGGTCAATCTCCTGCGGAGACACAGAGTGAGACAGTGAGACAGTGAGACACAGTGAGACACAGTGAGACACAGAGACACAGTGAGACACAGAGAGAGACACCCAGGTTCGGGTCAATCTCCTGCGGAGACAGAGACACAGAGACAGACAGAGACACAGAGACACAGTGAGACACAGAGTGAGACACAGAGTGAGACACAGTGAGAGACACAGAGTGAGACACAGAGTGAGACACAGTGAGACACAGTGAGACACAGAGACACAGAGAGACACCCAGGTTCGGGTCGATCTCCTGCGGAGACAGAGACACAGTGAGACAGAGACAGTGAGACACAGAGACACAGAGAGACACAGAGACAGTGAGACAGAGAGACACAGTGAGACAGAGAGACACAGTGAGACACAGAGACACAGTGAGACACAGAGACACAGTGAGACACAGAGACACAGTGAGACACAGAGACAGAGACACAGTGAGACACAGTGAGACACAGTGAGACACAGTGAGACAGAGACACACAGTGAGACACAGTGAGACAGAGACACACAGTGAGACACAGTGAGACAGAGACACACAGTGAGACACAGTGAGACAGAGACACACAGTGAGACACAGTGACACAGTGAGACACAGTGAGACAGATACACTCAGAGAGACACAGAGACACAGTGAGACACAGTGAGACAGAGACACTCAGAGAGACACAGAGAGAGACAGAGACACAGAGACACAGTGAGACACAGAGTGAGACACAGAGTGAGACACAGTGAGAGACACAGAGTGAGACACAGTGAGACACAGTGAGACACAGAGACACAGTAAGACACAGAGAGACACCCAGGTTCGGGTCGATCTCCTGCGGAGACAGAGACACAGTGAGACAGAGACAGTGAGACACAGAGACACAGAGAGACACAGAGACAGTGAGACACAGAGACACAGAGAGACACAGAGACAGTGAGACACAGAGACACAGAGAGACACAGAGACAGTGAGACAGAGAGAGACACCCAGGTTCGGGTCAATCTCCTGCGGAGACACGGAGACAGAGACACAGTGAGACACACAGTGAGACAGAAAGAGAGACACAGTGAGACACAGAGACACAGTGAGACACAGAGACAGAGACACAGTGAGACACAGTGAGACAGTGAGACACAGAGACACAGTGAGACACAGAGACAGAGACACAGTGAGACACAGTGAGACAGAGACACACAGTGAGACACAGAGACAGAGTGAGACACAGAGACACAGTGAGACACAGAGACACAGTGAGACACAGAGACAGAGACACAGTGAGACACAGTGAGACAGAGACACACAGTGAGACACAGTGAGACAGAGACACACAGTGAGACAGAGACACACAGTGAGACACAGTGACACAGTGAGACACAGACACTCAGAGAGACACAGAGACACAGTGAGACACAGTGAGACAGAGACACTCAGAGAGACACAGAGAGAGACACCCAGGTTCGGGTCAATCTCCTGCGGAGACACGGAGACAGAGACACAGTGAGACAGAGACACAGTGAGACACAGTGAGACAGAGACAGAGAAACAGAGTGAGACACAGAGACACAGCGAGACACAGTGAGACACAGTGAGACAGAGAGACACAGTGAGACAGAGAGACACAGTGAGACAGAGAGACACAGAGACACAGAGACAGTGAGAGAGACATAGTGAGACAGAGAGACACAGAGAGAGACACAGTGAGACACAGAGAGAGACACAGTGAGACAGAGAGAGAGACACCCAGGTTCGGGTCAATCTCCTGTGGAGACACAGAGTGAGACAGAGACACAGTGAGACACACAGTGAGACAGTGAGACACAGACAGAGTGAGACACAGTGAGACAGACAGACACAGTGAGACACAGAGACACACAGTGAGACACAGAGACACAGTGAGACAGAGACACAGAGTGAGACACAGTGAGACACAGAGAGAGACACCCAGGTTCGGGTCAATCTCCTACGGAGACACGGAGACAGAGACACAGACAGAGTGAGACAGAGAGAGAGACACCCAGGTTCGGGTCAATCTCCTGTAGAGACACGGAGACAGAGACACAGAGTGAGACAGTGAGACAGAGAGACAGAGTGAGACACAGAGTGAAACAGAGACAGAGAGACACAGTGAGACACAGAGACAGAGAGAGACAGAGACACAGTGAGACACAGTGACAGAGAGAGACACCCAGGTTCGGGTCGATCTCCTGCAGAGACACGGAGACACAGAGACACAGTGAGACACAGTGACAGAGTGAGACACAGTGACAGAGAGAGACACCCAGGTTCGGGTCGATCTCCTGTAGAGACACGGAGACACAGAGACACAGAGAGACACACAGACAGAGTGAGACACACAGACAGAGTGAGACACAGAGACAGAGTGAGACAGAGACACAGTGAGACACAGTGACAGAGAGAGACAACCAGGTTCGGGTCGATCTCCTGTAGAGACACGGAGACACAGAGACACAGAGAGACACACAGACAGAGTGAGACACAGAGACAGAGTGAGACAGAGACAGAGTGAGACACCGTGACACAGAGAGAGACAGAGACACAGTGAGACACAGTGACAGAGAGAGACACCCAGGTTCGGGTCGATCTCCTGTAGAGACACGGAGACACAGAGACACACAGACAGAGTGAGACACAGAGACAGAGTGAGACACAGAGACAGAGTGAGACACAGAGACACAGTGAGACACAGTGACAGAGTGAGACACAGAGACACAGTGAGACACAGTGACAGAGTGAGACACCCAGGTTCGGGTCGATCTCCTGCAGAGACACGGAGACACAGAGACACAGAGAGACACACAGACACAGAGAGAGACAGAGACAGAGAGAGACACAGTGAGACAGAGAGAGACACCCAAGTACGGGTCGATCTCCTGCAGAAGGACACACAGTGAGACAGAGACAGAGTGAGACAGAGACACAATGAGACAGTGAGAGAGACACAGAGACAGAGTGAGACACAGTGAGACACAGTGAGACACAGAGAGAGACAGAGTGAGACACAGAGACACAGAGAGAGACAGAGACAGAGAGAGACACAGCGAGACAGAGAGAGAGACACAGTGAGACAGAGAGAGAGACACCCAAGTTCGGGTCGATCTCCTGCAGAGACACAGAGTGAGACAGAGACACAGTGAGACAGAGACACAGTGAGACAGTGAGAGAGACACAGAGACAGAGTGAGACACAGAGACAGAGTGAGACAGAGTGAGACACAGAGACACAGAGTGAGACACCCAGGTTCGAGTCGATCTCCTGCAGAGACACAGAGTGAGACAGAGACACAGTGAGACACAGACACAGTGAGATAGTGAGAGAGACACAGAGACAGAGTGAGACAGAGACACAGTGAGACACAGAGACAGAGTGAGACAGAGTGAGACACAGAGACACAGAGTGAGACACAGAGTGAGACACCCAGGTTCGAGTCGATCTCCTGCAGAGACACAAAGTGAAACAGAGACACAGTGAGACACAGACACATTGAGACAGAGAGTGAGACAGAGACACAGACAGAGAGAGACAGAGACAGACAAGTTCGAGTCGATCTCCTGCAGAGACACAGAGACACAGCGAGACACAGAGACACAGCGAGACACAGAGAGAGACACAGAGACACAGAGACAGTGAGACACAGACAGAGACACAATGAGACAGTGAGAGAGACACAGAGACAGAGTGAGACACAGTGAGACACAGAGAGAGACAGAGTGAGACACAGAGACACAGAGAGAGACAGAGACAGAGAGAGACACCCAAGTTCGGGTCGATCTCCTGCAGAGACACAGAGTGAGACAGAGACACAGTGAGACAGAGACACAGTGAGACAGTGAGAGAGACACAGAGACAGAGTGAGACACAGAGACAGAGTGAGACAGAGTGAGACACAGAGACACAGAGTGAGACACCCAGGTTCGAGTCGATCTCCTGCAGAGACACAGAGTGAGACAGAGACACAGTGAGACACAGACACAGTGAGATAGTGAGAGAGACACAGAGACAGAGTGAGACAGAGACACAGTGAGACACAGAGACAGAGTGAGACAGAGTGAGACACAGAGACACAGAGTGAGACACAGAGTGAGACACCCAGGTTCGAGTCGATCTCCTGCAGAGACACAGAGTGAGACAGAGACACAGTGAGACACAGACACATTGAGACAGAGAGGGAGACAGAGACACAGACAGAGAGAGACAGAGACAGACAAGTTCGAGTCGATCTCCTGCAGAGACACAGAGACACAGCGAGACACAGAGACACAGCGAGACACAGAGAGAGACACAGAGACACAGAGACAGTGAGACACAGACAGAGACACAATGAGACAGTGAGAGAGACACAGAGACAGAGTGAGACACAGTGAGACACAGAGAGAGACAGAGTGAGACACAGAGACACAGAGAGAGACAGAGACAGAGAGAGACACAGCGAGACAGAGAGAGAGACACAGTGAGACAGAGAGAGACACCCAAGTTCGGGCCGATCTCCTGCAGAAGGACACACAGAGTGAGACAGAGACACAGTGAGACAGAGACACAGTGAGACAGTGAGAGAGACACAGAGACAGTGAGACACAGAGACAGTGAGACACAGAGACAGAGTGAGACAGAGTGAGACACAGAGACACAGAGTGAGACACAGAGACAGAGTGAGACACAGAGACACAGAGACAGAGAGAGACACAGTGAGACAGAGAGAGACACCCAGGTTCGGGTCGATCTCCTGCAGAGACACAGAGTGAGACAGAGACAGAGTGAGACAGAGACACAGTGAGACAGTGAGAGAGACACAGAGACAGAGTGAGACACAGAGACACAGTGAGACACAGAGACAGAGTGAGACAGAGTGAGACACAGAGACACAGAGTGAGACACCCAAGTTCGGGTCTATCTCCTGCAGAGACACGGAGACACAGTGAGACAGAGACACAGAGACAGAGACACAGACAGAGTGAGTGTATGTGTGTGTATGTATATATATCTGTGTGTATGTATATATATGTATATATATATATCTGTGTGTGTGTGTGTACGTACCATGGCGTACAAGTTGCTGTATCCCCGCACCCTGGTGGGTACTTTGGAGAACTTCTGGTCGAAGGCGTCCGAAATGTTGTGGGCCGGATCGGTGGAGATGATCAGGACACTGTCCCTCTGCTTACTGAGCTGTACAGCCAGACTACAGCTACACACACACACAGCAATATCAGTGTAGTAGTGTGTAGTGTAGTAGTGTAGTAGTTTGTAGTGTATAGTAGTGTGGTAGTGTGTAGTGTAGTAGTGTATAGTGTAGAGTATAGTGTAGTAGTGTAGTAGTGTGTAGTAGTGTATAGTGTAGTAGTGTATAGTGTAGTAGTGTATAGTAGTGTATAGTGTAGTAGTGTGTAGTGTAGTAGTGTATAGTGTAGTAGTGTGTAGTGTAGTAGTGTGTAGTGTAGTAGTGTAATAGTGTAGTAGTGTATAGTGTAGTAGTGTGTAGTGTAGTAGTAGTGTATAGTGTAGTAGTGTGTAGTGTAGTAGTGTATAGTGTAGTAGTGTATAGTGTAGAATATAGTGTAGTAGTGTATAGTGTAGTAGTGTATAGTGTAGTGTATAGTGTAGTAGTGTATAGTGTGTAGTGTAGTAGTGTGTAGTGTAGTAGTGTGTAGTGTAGTAGTGTATAGTGTAGTAGTGTATAGTGTAGTAGTGTATAGTAGTGTATAGTGTAGTAGTGTATAGTGTAGTAGTGTATAGTGTAGTAGTGTATAGTGTAGTAGTGTATAGTGTAGTAGTGTATAGTGTAGTGTATAGTGTAGTGTATAGTGTACTGTATAGTGTAGTAGTGTATAGTGTAGTAGTGTATAGTGTAGTAGTGTATAGTGTAGTAATGTATAGTGTAGTAGTGTATAGTGTAGTAGTGTATAGTGTAGTAGTGTATAGTGTAGTAGTGTATAATGTAGTGTATAGTGTAGTAGTGTGTAGTGTAGTAGTGTATAGTGTAGTAGTGTATAGTGTAGTAGTGTGTAGTGTAGTAGTGTATTAGTGTAGTAGTGTATAGTGTAGTAGTGTGTAGTGTAGTAGTGTATAGTGTAGTAGTGTATAGTGTAGTAGTGTAGTGTCTAGTGTAGTAGTGTATAGTGTAGTAGTGTATAGTGTAGTAGTGTGTAGTGTAGTAGTGTATAGTGTAGTAGTGTATAGTGTAGTAGTGTATAGTGTAGTAGTGTATAGTGTAGTAGTGTATAGTGTGTAGTGTAGTAGTGTAGTGTAGTAGTGTATAGGATAGTAGTGTATAGTGTAGTAGTGTATAGTGTAGTAGTGTATAGTGTAGTAGTGTATAGTGTAGTAGTGTATAGTGTAGTAGTGTGTAGTGTATAGTGTAGTAGTGTATAGTGTAGTAGTGTGGTAGTGTAGTAGTGTGGTAGTGTAGTAGTGTATAGTGTAGTAGTGTGTAGTGTAGTAGTGTGTAGTGTAGTAGTGTATAGTGTAGTAGTGTGTAGTGTAGTAGTGTATAGTGTAGTAGTGTATAGTGTAGTAGTGTATAGTGTAGTAGTGTATAGTGTAGTAGTGTATAGTGTAGTGTATAGTGTAGTAGTGTGTAGTGTAGTAGTGTATAGTGTAGTAGTGTATAGTGTAGTAGTGTGTAGTGTAGTAGTGTGTAGTGTAGTAGTGTATAGTGTAGTAGTGTGTAGTGTAGTAGTGTATAGTGTAGTAGTGTATAGTGTAGTAGTGTACAGTGTAGTGTATAGTGTAGTAGTGTATAGTGTAGTAGTGTATAGTGTACAGTGTAGTGTATAGTGTAGATCACGGTGATGATGTAAAAGTGCATCGCAGCGCCCCAGCGGATTTCTGATATTGTGTGGCGAGTCTATGGGTCTCTGTGAGTCTATGGGTCTCTGTGAGTCTATGGGTCTCTGTGAGTCTATGGGTCTCTGTGTTTGATGAGTCTATGGGTCTCTGTGAGTCTATGGGTCTCTGTGAGTCTATGGGTCTCTGTGAGTCTATGGGTCTCTGTGAGTCTATGGGTCTCTGTGAGTCTATGGGTCTCTGTGAGTCTGTGGGTCTCTGTGAGTCTATGGGTCTCTGTGTTTGATGAGTATATGGGTCTCTGTGTTTGATGAGTCTATGGGTCTCTGTGAGTCTATGAGTCTCTGTGTTCGATGAGTCTATGGGTCTCTGTGAGTCTATGGGTCTCTGTGAGTCTGTGGGTCTCTGTGAGTCTATGGGTCTCTGTGTTTGATGAGTATATGGGTCTCTGTATTTGATGAGTCTATGGGTCTCTGTGAGTCTATGGGTCTCTGTGTTTGATGAGTCTATGGGTCTCTGTGAGTCTATGGGTCTCTGTGAGTCTATGGGTCTCTGTGAGTCTATGGGTCTCTGTGAGTCTATGGGTCTCTGTGAGTCTATGGGTCTCTGTGAGTCTATGGGTCTCTGTGAGTCTATGGGTCTCTGTGAGTCTATGGGTCTCTGTGAGTCTATTGGTCTGTGTTTGATGAGTCTATGGGTCTCTGTGAGTCTATGGGTCTCTGTGAGTCTATGGGTCTCTGTGAGTCTATGGGTC